ACAGACATGGGCCTCTGACTAATTAGAATGGGAGGAGGTAAAAAGGGTCCCGAAGACCCCCTGTGTGGAGCAGGTGGTAGCTAGCTCTTTTAGTTGCTACCTCATAACATGCGTTCCAGGAGAACCTGGGGAAGCTGAGGAAGGACTGGGAGGCAGGAAGGGAGGGCGGACTAGTGGCTTTCTCAGCAATTTGTAGGGAAGTATTTAAACATTTAAACATCACATACATCATAACCAACCATATTAACTCAATGTCAGTAGTGTGCCCATCTCTTTCCTACCCACTCCCCCATCCAGCATGGCCCTTGCCTTGTCCATGCGGACCAGGAAGGAATCAATGAAGTCCTTCGGAGTGCTGGGGTCCAGCATTTCCCTATGCCTCTCGATGTTCTCAGTGATAAAATCTTCCATTTCTTTAATTTTGCTGTGCACGCGAGTGTGGATGCCAGGAAAGTGTTTCAGGATGCCGGAGAGGAGTTCAAACATCTACAAGGAAGCAAGGAGGTCCCAGAGTCTGTTCTCTCTGGGCTGGCACTGCAAGGTTGAGGTTAGCAGAGCAGAGCAATATCTGAAAGGCTTAATTCACCCCCTGGCCTTGGGGAATGTGCCTCCCAGTCGAGCAAACATGCACATACATACACATACTCAGTGGTGTGTGAACAGGTACAGCCTGCCCCAATCACACTTACCTCTACAGGGATTTCTTCTCTCATAGGCCTCCCTTTCCTGAGGCCGATTTCCCACCTCCAGTCTGACTCATCACCTTTCGATGCCTTCTTGCATCGGTGTTAGGACAAAAAGCATCTGGTTTTTGCCCACGGTCCACCCATCCCAATTCTTGGCCCACCATGGAAACTTTGGCTTCACCTGGCCGTAGAAAGAGCTAGCAAGATCGGAGAGATCTTTCATTAAATGTAGCAACTGTAGGAATCTGGGGTCCTGATAATTAAAGTGCTGGCCAAGGATGATGGTACAGATGATGTTAGCCATGGCGAGTAAACGACGAAGGTGGGATCCAGATAGGCCGCTGTGAACAGGAGTTCTGTTACAGTGGGGCCCTACATGGTCCTTCTGGGAGGCTCTGACCTGGCTGCTGCCATCTTAGCTCAGTTAGTTGGTTTCTTTCTCTTTCCCTTGGCCAGATGACTTTCGCTGGGTCTCTTATCATGCCTTTTTCTGGACATCTCCGGCTCTGTGTCTCATGGTTTTCTTGGGCTCTGTCTGGGTCTGACTTTCTTGGTGCACCTGCATCTTTCTCTGGTCTTGTCTCTGACTCTTTGAGACTCAGCCCCTTCTTCTCTGTCCTCTCTCTTTTCATGGCCCTGTCTTCATGGCCCCCTCCTTGGCCTTGCAGTCACTTTGTGTCTCCCCTGACTCTATTGCTCTCTTTACCCTTTTCTTTCTAAGTCCTTTCCTTACAGTTTCTGCTTCTGGATCAATCTTTGTCAGTGTCCTGGGTTTTCCCTCTGACTTGCTCTCTCTGTCTGTCTGCTTTCTCTGCCTATTTCTCTCTCCATCCCTGTTTTCTTCATTCTCTTTCTCTTTTTCTTTCTCTGTATCCTTCTCCCTTTCCCTGAACTTGTCTCTGTATCTCTCTGTCTCTATCTCTGGGTCCTTCTGTCCCTATCTCACCCACCCCCTGCCTGCCTGTCCATCCCCTGCCCTAGCCCCTGGGCTCACCCCGGGATTTCTGCAGCTCCTTCACCAGACACTGAGCCTCCTCCTGGATTCACTTCTTAATGCTCTGCTTCCCCATCCCGAAGTCCTCATGGTGAGCTGAGAGAATTGCCGAAGGGCTTTCCAAGACTTTCTACTGGCAAAGACCACACCTGATTGATGGGGCATGGAGGGAAGGTAGGGAGGAGGACACATGAGGTGTCCCCTCGTCTTTTCCCCAACCCCCACCCCCGTGCCCCACTCACCTTTTCCCCTGAGGATGGGATCAATGATGGCAATGTGCCCTCGGCCAGAGAAAGCCTCAGCTTGATCCACCAGAGCCTCCTTCACTGCCTTGTACCCACACAGGATGACAACAGGCCGGGGTCCCAGGTAGACTGTGAAGACGTCCCGTATTTCTTCTGCAGCTGTGGAGGCGGGGTCCAGCTCTCACTCTCTCACTCAAGAGAAGAGTCTTCCTCTTACACCTGGATCACACCCTCCAGCTTAGCCTAATGACCACCACCTGTCCCCATCGAATCCCTATCAAGGAAGAAGGGACACCTGAACTCTGTGGCCTCATCCAAGCCTCCCTCATATGCCCTTGCCCCAAATGTTCTCCTCTCTCAGCTTTTCCAAGAACTCTCCCAGCTTCGAATTTTAAAAAATGACAGAGACTCTGGGCACCTGGGTGGCTCAGTTGGTTAAGCGTCTACCTTCGGCTCAGGTCATGATCCCAGGGTCCTGGGATCGAGCCCCGCATCGGGCTCCCTGCGCAGCAGGAAGTCTGCTTCTCCCTCTCCCTCTGCCCCTCCCCTGGCTCCTGCTCTTTCTCTCAAATAAATAAATAAAATCATTTAAAAAAAATGACAGAGACCCCTCACATGTGAGCTCTAGTACCTCTCCCTCCTAAATCCTGCAGGACACAGCTCAAAGCCCCACATCTATCATCATAATTTATCCCTCCAGTCTATCTTCCCTGCATTCCTTCTTATAGGAATTCCAGAAGCTTCTCTCATGGACATATTGAGCCAGATGGCAGATGGAGGCTGGAAGAAGACAATCCCCAAGCTGGCCTGAGAAGTCCCACCCACAGTTTGAACCCCACTGCCTGGCTGCCTGTGAGCTCTTACCTGTCCACTCACCTCCTGCTTTCCACCCTCTTCACCCTCCCCAACTCTCCGCCTGGAAGGTCTTGAGAAAGCCCTGGTGGTCTATTTGCAAAATGTTCCCCAGGAAGGGCAGAGGCCAAGGTCCTGGAGGGAGGCGGCCCCCAGAGGCTGGGTGACCCCAGAGTAGCAAGAGGCCAATAAGGACTGTGAGAAGCAGGAGGGCTGACAGTACCATGGTCCTGGCTGTGTCTGCCTTCTATCCTGCCATCCCTCTTTAAAGGGAGGCTGCTCTGTTGCTTGTCACCTTTTATCCCCCCATGGTCTGTGTGGGTGGGTATGCCATAAATGTACCTTGGGATACCTCTTGGTAACTCTCCAGTGGCAACAGGGAGCCCAAAGGCGGCAGGTGCTGCAGAAGCCAGGAAGTTTAGCATTTCACATGGGTCCCAAAACCATTCTATTGGCCTCTGGCTGGCCCAAGGTATCTTAGCAGGCAATGCCCTTGAACCTGGCTTCCTGAAGGAAGGATAGTGGTGCCCGCAGGTGGAACATGTAGAGGCTGGTGAGGGATGGTTGCACCACAAGGATGGCTCTTGGCCAGTTTTCTTAGAGGGTGGCATTGCATCATGAGGGACTGAGAATAGCTCGAAGGCAGAATTGGTGCATCCTGTGTTCTTTGGGAACAGGGATTTGTTCTGGGCATCAGAAGAAAGTGAGATATGAAGAAAAAGACAAGGTCTGATGGGGGAAGGCTAGCTCCATGTTGGACGCATTTGGGGTTGCCTGATTCAACCATTCATTCATTCATTCATTCCTCAACAAATATTTTGCCTTCTCAGAGCTGGCATGGTAGTGAAGAAGTTCTCACCTTCCAGAAAGATCCCTAGTGATCTGACAATAAATGGGTCTCACATAAAATAGCATGGATCACCATCTGACTAGGGGATGTCAGGCTTTGGATGTTTGAGTGTCAGGGGGATTGAAGGGCACTATCAGGGAATCCAAGGCACCAGTTTAGAATCATGCACCTCAGGTGGCCGTGGGCCGAGGGCGCCCTTACAAGAGGGAAGCACTAGGGAAAGTCAGTGAGAATGAAGACAGCAGTGTACAGCAATGGTCTACAATGTGGGTGAATCTCAAAAATATTATGCTGAGTGAAAGAAGCCAGACACAACAGAGCACATATTGCATGATTCCATTTACATGAAAATGCACAGAATAAGCAAAGCCCTAGAGACCAGAAGCAGACTGGTGGTTGCCAGGGGCTGAGGAGAAGGGGGAATGGAGAGTGACTGCTAATGGGTACAGGGTTTTATTCTTCGGGGATGAGAATGTTTGGAACTAGTTAGTGGTGGTGGTTGTACACCGTTGTGAATGAACTCAATGCCACTAAATTATACACTTTAAAATGCTTAGTTTTATGTTATATGAATTTCACCATAATTTTAAAATATATTGCGGGGGGTGGGGGCATTGGGTGAAGAATTTGAGTTTGAGAGCCAGGGAGACAGAGTATGAATCTTGCTCCTCCACTCCCAGCCATATGACCTGGGACAACTGATGCCAGTCCTTGGCCTTTGTATACTCATCTGTAAAATGGGCACAATCATTATACCCACCCCATGGAAATACTGGAAGGAGGATTCAAGTGAGATCATGTTTGCACAGATCATGGAGCACAAAGAGTTGCTACACGGAGGTGGTGGTAGTTCTATTTTTTTAAAAGATTTTTATTTATTTATTCATGAGAGAGAGAGTCAGAGGGAGAAGCAGGCTCCCAAGGAGCAGGGACCCCGATGAGGGACTCGATCCCAGGACTCTGGGATCATGACCTGAGCCAAAGGCAGACGCTTAACCATCTGAGCCACCCAGGCGCCCGGAGGTGGTGGTAGTTCTGAGGAAGGGGGAAGTCACTGGGAGTAGCTGCGGCTTAAGAGGCAGAACTGAGCCAAGTCTCCTCTCTTCGCCCCCAGCTTTTATATATACACCACATCTGGAACTCTGTTAACAAAGGAAAGAAAACACTTGCACGAGTCTTTACAAGAGCTGCAGAATGATGGACTGAGATGAGGTGGCAGAGAGGACTTTCCCAGGGAGGTGGCACCCAGGAAGGGAAGGTTGCTGGTTGGCAGTGGGTCTCTCAGTGACAGGAAGACCCAGAGAGAGGCAAGGAGCTGTTCTCTGCAGAAGTGGGGATACTTCATGATCCTGGAATCCTTTGACCCCCTTCCTTCAGCATTCTCTATGAGCCAGAAAGCTGATCTGGTACACTGGGGGCAGTTTGCCCACACCATTCTCCTGGGGTGTGACGTCAATGTCCTCAGGAGCCACAGGGCTGGCCACAGAGAAGTTCTGGAGGATGGTGATGAAGAAGAGGAATAATTCCATGTGGGCGATGCCTTCACCAAGACAAATGCGCTTCCCTGTGGGCACAGAAGATCGCCAATATGGGCACAGAGCCAATGCACATCCTTTGCCCTCTCACATCCCAAATCCAGACATCTGTGTCCATTGCAACAGATTTGTATGGGACTGGCCTTTAACCTACAATTCAGGGTGGAATTTTAGGGGTTCCTGGGCCCTCTGAAACCAGGTGCAAACATTTGGGTGGATGGGCCTTGCACATTTTTTTTCCAGGAGAGAGTTTGTAGCTACTGTTAGATTTCCAGAGGGTTCAGTGGCCCCCAGAGAATAAAGACACATTTCTGGTTGCGTGTGTGTGTGTGTGTGTGTGTGTGTGTGTGTGTGTGTATCTGTCTGTCTGTCTGTCTGCCTCCACTGTGTAGGTATGTGCACATTTCTGACATTTTTAATGTCTTTCATTTCTAATATGGGGAGAATAGTACCCATCAAATAGGGCTATTGTGAGGTTAAAGAAATTAATAATTATAAAAATTCTTAGACTAGCTGTACTAAGGATACTATAGGTGGTTATTGCTTTGTGTTTCTTTCTGGGTGTGTGTGGTGGGGAGTGTGTGTGTCTGGGAAGAGTGTGTGTGTGGTAGGGAATGCATGTGTGGAGGGGCATGTGTGTGGTGGGAAGTGTTTGTCTCTGTCTATGTGGCATGGATTGTGTGTGTGGGCAGTGTGTATGTGGGGGGGAGTGTGCATGTATGTGGCAGGGAGTGTGTGCGGTGGGGAACTGTGGGGCAGGAGTGTAGGGAGGAGGGTGTGTGGTAGGGAGTATGTGTGTGGCAGGGAATGTGGGGGGTAGCGAAGGGGGACAGTGTGTGTGTGTGTCTCTGTGTGTGTGTGGTGGGGAGTGTGAAGGTGTGGGGGGAGTGTGTGTGTGGGGGGATTGTGAGGGTGTGGGGGGGATTGTGTGGTGGGGAGTGTGAGGATGTGGGGGGTAAGGTGTGTGGTGGGGAGTGTGAGGGTGTGGGGGATTGTGAGAATGTGGGGGGAATGTGTGTGGTGGGGATTGTGGGTGTGTGGCAGGGAGTGTGTGTGTGATAGGGGTGTGGGGGTGTATCTGATACTGTGTGTTTGTCCATCTCTGGGTTGTCATCTTATCTCAGTCTGAGATACATGGGCTTCAAGAGTTTTGGGAAAAAACCTAACCGCACATGAAATGGTGAATGGGACTGGCGTCTATGAGAGGGCAGTCTGTGGCTTCCAGTAGACCCTCAGATGTGTGAGAGCCCCCCCAGTAGGTTATAGAGCATGGGCTTGATGAGAAATGAGGACACAGGGAGTGGAAACCTCAGGCAGAGACGCTGAAAACCTCCTCCTTTACTTCAGGGGCTCTTGATCTGCAAGCTGACCACCTTGGAAAGGCCATTCCAGACATTTCCTAGACTTTTCACTGGGCCTGCGGGGAGGTTTCTGGGGGGAAGTGTCCACATCTTTTTGGCACATCAGAAGTTAGGAAATAAGAACCGAGGAATACTCAGGGCAGGGCTTGGGGCTAGTTCTCCTGCAACTGGTTCTGCAACCCAGTTCTCTCCTGAACAGCCTGACCCTACTCTCTCCCTCCCACCTTGTCTTCTTCATCCTTGGAGCTGTCCACTGGGACACCTTTACTATCCTTTTGGCTCTAACACCTTTTTGCCTTGGTTTGTCTTTCTTTCCTGCCATGGTGATCTTGGCTCAGTCTTTTGCTCTGTCTGTACCTTGTCTCCTTCCTCTTTTGCTCACCTTCAATTTTAAACTCCCTGTCGCCGTCCATTTGCATCTGATTCCATCTGAAACTCTCCCTCTCCCCTTTTCTGTCTCTCTCTCTTCTTCCTCACTCTGTTGTCTCACACTCACTCTCTTTCTGTCGCTATGTCCCCTGTCACTGTCTCCCTCTATGTCTCTCATTGTCCCTCTCTGTGTCTCTCACTCTTTCTTTGTCTGTCTGTCTCTTTCCTTCTTGCTCCACACGTCTGCCTTGATTCCGCGGTCCTTTCTCCCAAAGGATGAGGACCCTGGACATTGGGGTTGTCTCTGGATGGGGCCAAAAGGTGGAGAATGGGGATAGAGACAAGTCAGAGCATGTCAAGACCCTCCCTGGTTCCCAGCAGGTTAAATCCAAACATCCCCCAGCTTTCATGGCCCTCCAGCTGAGCTCTTCGCCCTGGTCCCCTTCTGTAATCTATACTCCAGGCTCCCATTGTTCATCTAGTTTCTCAAATATGCCTCCACCTTCAGGCTTTGACCTTGCTGTTCCCTCTGCCTGGACCACTCTTTCTAGAGGCCAATTGATATCCATCCTTGACATCTTAGCTTGGAAGACAGTGCTTCAGGGAAACTTTTCCTCACTGAATCAAGAGTAGTCAGTCCTTCCTATTTTGTGTTCCCAAAGCCCCTTTAGAGCATTTATCACAATTATGATTCATTGTAATAATAATGACCACTTCTGTGAGCACTTACTTTGTGGCAAGCAGTTCTAAGCACATTGCAAGCATTGATTAATTTAATTAGGTACTATTTTGTGGCCAAATGATAAATGCCCATCTTCCCTGCTGGACTGTAAATTTCCCAGGGCAGGAACCATGTCTCCACATGACTTGTCCAGTGCATTATTTTCAGCCCCCCATAGAGCACTGAGCTCAGAGTAGTGCCCAACAGATATTTTATACCAAGGTATAGAGAGGTTAAAATATTTTCCCACGGTCCAGCTTACCAAAATGTGCCTTTGGGACATGATCTTACTTCTTAAGCCCCTTCTAGGGTTGCAGTGAAGATGGAGCAGATTAAAGCAGGTAAAGCAACTGGCATATACTAATAGCTCAATAAGCAAAGATCTCTCCTTGATGGTCTCACGGAGGGGGTGGCACCTGCACTCTGGGGAAGGGAGTGCAGGCCTGGCTTACCTATGGAGAAGGGGATAAAAGCTTTATTCTTCTTCAGTGACCCATTGGCATCCAGAAAGCGGTCAGGGTTGAAGATTTCTGGTTTTTCAAAGTAATGTGGATCATTGAGAGCCGAGCGCAGGATGGGAAATACTTCAGTGCCCTGAGGGAGGGTGACAAGGTCAAGATATTGCCATTCCCTTTCTCAGTCCACCCCTTAAAAAACAAAAACAAAAACAAGAGGGACCTAGTGATAAAACCAGACCAAACCAAAACAAAACAAAAAATTAGAAAAATAGGTCAAGTCCAGAGATTAAGAGAATGCAGATGGGCCACACAAGAGAGATGTGGGAGCCCAGCTGGCCTCACCTTGGGAATGATGTACCCTCTGAAGTTAGTGTCTTTGGTGGCCTTTTGGGGCACACCAATCGGGATGAGGTCCCCGAATCTCTGAATCTCACGGATGACTGCATCAGTGTATGGCATTTTGGCTCAGTCATCAAGGGATGGAAGGCAGTGTGGGCCCATCACCTGGTCAATCTCTTTGTGGATTCTCTCTGCACAGATGAGTGGGGCCAGGGAAGCTCATTTTAAAAAGACATTTCAGGGCGCCTGGGTGGCTCAGTTGGTTGGGCGACTGCCTTCGGCTCAGGTCATGATCCTGGAGTCCCGGGATCGAGTCCCGCATCGGGCTCCCTGCTCGGCAGGGAGTCTGCTTCTCCCTCTGACCCTCCCCCCTCTCATGTGCTCACTGTCTCTCTCATTCTCTCTGTCTCAAATAAATAAATAAAATCTTTAAAAAAATAAAATAAAATAAAAATAAAAAGACATTTCATCAGGGACATTTCTTTTTATGGACCAGTGAACCAGGGAAAACATAATAAATGGTTAGGTCACTGACACCTCTCAGAGCAACCAGCCTGAGGAAGGGGTGGAGGGGGAAGCAAGAATTCTCACCTTTTGAAACCTACTGAATGCTATGACTTCTCCCCGTGGGTCACAGGTAAACACACCCACACACACACCACAATTTTGCATAGAATTTCAGATTAAGCACTCAAGGCTATAAGCCTGCCAAAATTCTCCCTCTAAAAGGAGTCGAAAATGAACTAATAATTATTGTGTGTGCATTATAGATAGCACACTGTGCTAGGTCCTCAGGAATGTAACAATGAAATAGATCAACAGACTAACCCACGAAAAACTGGATAAATAAATGAATACGTAAATCAATCAACTTATGAATGGAAAGATTGATGAATGGAAGAGCATTAATGAATGCATGTATGTATTTATTTCTCAATATGTGAATTAATGAATCATTAATCATTGATTAATAAATGGCCCATAGACAAATAAATGAACCTGATTAACCAACAAATCACATAAATGGATGGCTGGCTAGATCTATAGAGGAATAAGTAAATAATTTAATGAAGGAATAGTAAATAAAGGAATGGATGGATGGATTGAATGATAAGTCAATAAATCAGTGATGAATAACTGAGTGAATTAATAAATGAATAATAGATGGATGAAGGATGGAGTGAAGGAATGATGGAAGGGGCGCCTGGGTGGCTCAGTTGGTTAAGGATCTGCCTTTGGCACTGGTCATGATCCGGGGAATCTGGGGATCAAGCACCACATCAGGTTCTCTGCTCAGCAGGGAGTTTACTTCTCCCTCTGCCCCTCACCCTGCTCTGGTGCACTCTCTCTCTCTCAAATAAATAAAATCAAATCTTTTTTTTTTTTAAGAAAGAACGATGGAAGAATTAAGGAATGAAATCTAGTTCATAAGACAGATGGATACGTGCATGAACGAATGAGCCAATGAATCAATGACAAATACTTCATTCGATTAATCACTGTTTCAAAAGATCAACAGATGAATCAATGAATCCAAATAAAGAATGGAAGTTTATGTAGTTGGATTAAACATTGATGAAAGAATCTGAGTGTACAGGTTAATTAATAAGTAAAAGGATGCATGGGTGGGTGGATGGATGAGTCTGCCTTTAAGTGATGGGAGGAAACAGTGGGAGAACACACTCACAGATTGTTCATCCATCCACCCACAAGACTGACTCAGTTAGGGGCTCATTCAATACCTGCAGTGGTCCTGGTGTAAGAGATGAACACTGCCTCTCTCATTCGGGAAGGACGCCAGGCCCAACCCCCTGCAGCCCCAAAAGCGGTCAGAAGATCCCCCCTCCATGGGCTGTCCCCGCCCACTCACCTTTGATGTGGGGGTATTTGAGCAGGAGCAGGAATCCATAGCGGAGCGTGGTGCTGGTGGTCTCCGTGCCGGCGAAGAAGAGCGACAGCGCGGTGTAGATGAGGTTCTGCTGGTGGAACTCGCTGCGGTGTCGGCCTTCTCCTGAATCCATAGGGAAGCAGGGGGGCTTTGATGCACACTCGTCCCTCGTCCCTCCCTCGGGGCGCCCTCCGCAGCTTTCCAGATTTTTGGAGCAGACCCTCCAGTAGGAGGTCATAGGAATTTGTATTTGCGACGGTCCTACGCGCGCATCTGACATCCATTCCTGGTTAAGAACTATAGACAGGCATAGCGCTCTTAAGTTTAATTTCTTTTCTTTCTATTTTTTTTTTTTTTAAGAGAGGGAGAGAGAAGCGGGGGAGGAGCAGAAGGCGAGGGAGAAAGAAAATCGTAAGTAGGCTCCATGCTCTGAGCGAAGCCTGAGGTGGGGTTCCATCTCACATCCCTGAGATCAGGACCTGAGCTGAAATCAAGAGTTGGAGACTTAAACAACTGAGCCACCCAGGTGCTCCTGCAGTTTAATTTTTTAAACTTAATATACAATTGGGGTATTTCCAGGTTCGTTGAGAAAGAGAAACTATACTATTTTGTTTTAAAAGCGGAGCATATTACTTTATAATCTGGGAGACATTTAAAAAAAAAAAAACAGAAAGAGGAAGGAGAAATGGCAAAAAACAAAGAAATGTCATTCCTTATTTTCATGTGTCCTTTGAATTGTTTCAAGCAAGAGGCTTTGCCAAAGACAGAGGTGAAGGTTTGGAGAAACCAGGGACAGAAGAGGAGAGAGCCTGACAGTCTGACACATATTCTGTCCCCCTGTCTCTTCATCTTTGCCTGGTCATACTACGTTCTCCAGTCCCTGTCTCCCGTCCCTCCCGCCCCCCAGCGCTCAGTGTCCCTGGCTCAATGTCTCTGTCCCTCTCCGTTGTCTTTGCCCCACTTTCCAGCCTGAAGTTGCATTGCTGGGGCCCCAAAGCAGATTGCCCGTCTCCTCGGCCCTAGATGCCCACCTCATGCCCACCCACCTGCACCGTCTCCCTGACCTGGCTGGAGAAGGAGCTGATGAGCATGAAGGACTGGTGGAACAGGTCCAGCAGCCGCAGGAACTCAGGGTCTCTGTAGCCAAAGCGTTTTCCAAAGACAATGGAACAGATGATGTTAGCGGTCATGGAGTGGAAGAAGAAGGTGGGGTCCTGGAGGGCTCCTAGGAGGAGGAGGCACAAGTCATGGGACACAGACTCAAACAGACACCTTGGGAGCATTTGGCTACCACCCCATGTCTGCATGTCTGCCCTCCCTCGCCCAAGTGACGGTAAAGAAGGGACAGGAACAGCTAACATGCACCAGCCCGGATGATGTGCCAGGCCCTATTCTAAGCCCTTCGTATATTATTTTCTTAAATTCCCACCACAACCCTGGGAGGAAAGTGCCATTCTGTTATTATTTCCATCTTATAGATGGGCAGAGAGGTGGAGTAACTTGACCAGGGTTCCCCAGCTCCTCATCCCTGGGGTCGGGATTCAGACCCAGGGGCTGTGGGGGTAGTCCCTCTCTGGTCTCAGCTCTGACCCTGGGAACCAGGAGTTAAGTCCCAGAGGCAGAGGGGTGCAGAGCGGGTGATCAGTCAGTCACAGGCGCAAATTAAAAAGCTCTGCTGTCCTTATCCCTTGTCTGTCACTCCCCCTTCACCTCTTCTCTCCACCTCTAGGGCTCTCTGGTGTCCAGAGAATTGTTCTGTACTTGCTAGTTGATGTCTGTATACATCCTGGTCTCCCTGACTGTGTGCCCAGGAGCAACATGTCATCAGCCTCTCTCTGCGAGTCTCACCTGTCCATCTGCTCTTGTTCCCTCAGCAGACCCTTCCCTGAGCCTGTCTGTCTGCCTGTCTCATTTTCGCTGCCTTGGTTTCTTTCTGCCTGTCTCAGGCTCTTCCAGTCTCTCTCCGTCTTGGTCTCTCCATCTCTGCCTCTTTCTCCTTCCCTGTCTCTCCATCTGAGTCACTCTGTTTCTTCCGGTCTGTCTTCTTAGTCCTCTGTCCCTATTCCTCTATTGCTCCCTATGTCTCTGTCTCTCCCTCCCAGCCTCTACATCTATGTCTCAAAATATCTCTTATAGAAGGACCCAGACATCTTTATGTCCCCTTTCTCTCTTTGCCTTCTTTTTATAAGTCCTGTTTTCGCCTTTGATAGATACAATTAATCCATGAGTTGGTTTCCCTGAATCCAAGTAAATAGCGTGCTAATATCTAAGTTTATGCCTTTGAGTTATTCTCGACACTATACACCCCACATCTCTTCCGGCTCCCCGTGTTCCTCTCCTACTCATCTCTGTCTGTCCCTCTGTCTGATGATCTCTCGGGATCATTCTCTACCTCTACCTCTCTTTCTCTACCCACAGGTATCCCATGCACCCTGCATTCCCCGGGACTCACCCTGGGTTTTCCATAGCTCCTCCACCAGACACTGAGCCTCCTCCTGAATCCGCTCCTCCACACTCTGCTTCCCCACCCCGAAGTCCCTCATGGTAGCCAGAGAGAATCGGTGAAGGGTCTTCCAACGTTCCCCATTGGCAAAGACCACACCTGGGGGTGTAGCGAAGGCATGGGTTGCTGAGGAGATTGGAAGGGGACTCTGGGTCCCTCAGCACCCCCTTATCTTCTCTTCCCGGATCCATCCTCCCCAATTCCCCTTGTCCATTATTCCCCTCCAGGTGCCTTTGAGGCCCTTACCATACCCTGGAAGAATGGCTCTACTATAGCAATTTTCCCCCGGCCAGAGAAGGTCTCAGCCTGGTCCACCAGGGCCTCCCGTATGGCCTTTATCCCACATAGCATGACCACGGGCCTTGGCCCCAGGTACACCGTGAAGACATCCCCGTATTTCTCTCGGAACTGTGAAGCATATCCACACCCAGGGTTGCTATTAGTCCATATGCACCAATGCGGCCATCCCAGTTGTTAAACCATAAAGACACTTATGTATAAATTGATCTTGCTGCCCCCAAGACCCTCCACCCCAGGCTGCCTTTCCCCTTCCCAGGACCCAGCAACTAAAGGATTAACCCATGACCCAGCCAGGCTCTGCATGATTGGTGCCCTAAGCAGTACAGATGGTTACTATCTCTCAATCCTGCCCATACCTCTGAGTCTAGCCAGATCTCCCCAGCATTGAAACCGAAGGGTCATCCTCCTTGTGACCCAACATCAACCTGCTGTCTGCCTCCTGACTTTATTTCCCCACAGAACTGCCCTGAACCACCCGCTGGGTAGACATGAAGGGAAAACAATGGCTTCTGGGATGATCATGAAATCTGAGGAATCATAACATCAGTGCGGCCACTTGCAAAACTGCTCGGTGCTGGGGACACCTGGGTGGCTCAGTTGTTAAGCATCTGCCTTCGGCTCAGGTCATGATCCCAGGGTCCTGGGATTGAGCCCCGCATCAGGCTCCCTGCTCAGCCGGGAGCCTGCTTCTCCCTCTCCCACTCCCCCTGCTTGTGTTCCCTCTCTCACTGTGTCTCTCTCTGTCAAATAGATAAATAAAATCTTAAAAAAAAAAAACTGCTCAATGGTATTTACTGAAACTAAACACATGTATACTCAGTGACCCAGCAGCCCCACCACCAGATGCACGCCCAGCAAAAATATGCACATAGGTTCACCAAAATACAAACAAGAAGATTCCTGGAAGCTCGGCAACACAGATGGAGGATAAATATATAGTGATATAGTCATGCCGTGGAATACTATGTAGCAATTAAAAAGAACGGGCTCAAGATGTCCATCGACAGATGAATGGATAAAGAAGATGTGGTGTATATATACAATGGAATATTATGCAGCCATCAAAAGGAAGGAGATCTTGCCATTTGCAACGATGTGGATGGAACTGGAGGGTGTTCTGCTGAGTGAAATAAGTCAATCAGAGAAAGACATGTATCATATGACCTCACTGATATGAGGAATTCTTAATCTTAGGAAACAAACTGAGGGTTGCTGGAGTGGTAGGGTGGGGTGGGAGGGATGGGGTGGCTGGGTGATAGACATTGGGAGGGTATGTGCTATGGTGGGCGCTGTGAATTGGGCAAGACTGTTGAATCACAGATCTGTACCTCTGAAACAAATAATGCAATATATGTTAAGAAAAAAAGAAGAAGAAGAAGAAGATAGCAGGAGGGGAAGAATGAAGGGGGGGAAATCGGAGGGGGAGACGAACCATGAGGGACGATGGACTCTGAAAAACAAACTGAGGGTTCTAGAGGGGAGGGGGGTGGGAGGATGGGTTAGCCTGGTGATGGGTGTTAAAGAGGGCACGTTCTGCGTGGAGCACTGGGTGTTATGCACAAACAATGAATCATGGAACACTACATCAAAAACTAATGATGTAATGTATGGTGACTAACATAACAATAACAAAATTTAAAGGAAAAAAAAAAGAACGGGCTCTGCAGCCAACAACATGAATGAAACTCAACAGGCATAGTGTTGAGGGAAAGCACTCAGACACAAAAGTGTCCATAGGTCATAATTCTATTTATTTATTTAATTTATTTTAGAGAGAGAGCACACAAGCAGGAGGGAGTGGGGGAGGAAGGGCGGGGCAGAGGGAGAGAGAGAGAGATGACCTTAAGCAAGCTCCATGCCCAGAGTGGAGCCCGACGGGGGAGGGGGGTGTTCTATCTTACAACCTTGAGATCAAGAGTCCGATGCCCAAAAAACTGAGCCACCCAGGCGTCCCCGGTCATAATTCTATTTATATGAAGCCAGGATAGTAGGAGGGTGGCGACTGGAAGGGGGTTCCTGGGGACAGAATGTGTTGTTATTTACCTGTATGTCAATTACATGAGTAGGCTCCTTTGAGAGAATTCACTGAGCTGAACACTTAGGGTTTGTGCACTTTCAGGGGTGATGCTAAACCTCAGTAACAGTTGACTTAAAATCATAAAAAAGTTAAGGGGCACCTGGGTGGCTCAGTCGTTAGGCGTCTGCCTTCGGCTCAGGTCATGATTCCAGGGCCCTGGGATGGAGCCCCGTGTCGGGCTCCCTGCTCGGCGGGAAGCCTGCTTCTCCCTCCCCCACTCCCCCTGCTTGTGTCCCTCTCTCGCTGTGTCTCTCTCTGTCAAATAAATAAATACAATCTTTTTTAAAAAAAATAATAAAAATAAAAGCAAAAGGATGGCAAGGCCAAGATTCAGGAGCGTGGTCGCCATGGGGCGAGGGGTGGACCCAGGAGAATGGGGCAGCTGGAAGTTCCTGTTGGTCGTCCAGTTCCTCTGTTGGGAAGTCGGTTCGTGGGTGTGGACAACATTATTAATAAATAAATGGATCATCAAGCAAGAAATCATGCTGGGAAGCAGTGATCCGGGGCCTGGTAAATACTCCAACGTTAGCTATTACAGCTCATTCATGGTCATTATTGCTAAACACTCTGTGCCTGGCCTCCTGTGTCCTCCTCACCGCTCTTCCTCCCGACACCGACACCGGCACCAACCTGAGCCAGACTGACCTCTTTTTTTAGCAGAGGAGAGACCTATTTGATTGGTGGCGCCGCCCGTTTTCTTTTGTTCTCCCAGCGCCCCGCAGGCACCCGAGGGGTGGCTGGAGAATGAAATTCTACACCATGGTTCACATCCAGACACCTCTTCAAACCCACTTGCCCACTCCAGAGACAGTGCCCACACACTTCGACTGAGCAGCATCCCGCATGCTGCACCTCCATGCCCCTTCCTCACCCCACACCCATGCCTTCTGGGGGGTGATCTCCAAGCATGGAGGCAGGGAGACCCCCTCAGATCCCATCCAATCTGCATCTCACCCTGAGAAAGGATTTTAGTAAGCCACTTCTGTCCATCTGAAGAAGGTTCCCCAAGAAAGGCAGAGGATGGGGGCCTGGTGGCAGGCGGCCATAGGCCTTCGGGTGGCCCCTGGCCAACAGAAGCAAGAGTCCCGTGAGGAGAGCAAGGAGGAGAAGGGCGCTGAGCTCCATGACTTGGTCTGGCCGCCTCCCTCCCAACTGCCGCCTTGAGCTGGGACTTTTATCCCGAACCTGCCTCCCCACCATGTTATGTAACTTCATCCCCAGCCCGCCTCTCCTCTCATCAAGCCAGGAGTGTGAACTTGAAAGAAAGAGTGGTACTGACAGACCCATACTTCCTGATTGGGCAACCCTATGTGTTGGCAGAGACAATGTGGTAACGATTCCAAAGTCCACAAGAGTATGTGTGTAGCGCTCATGTTGTATTTATCTTGCAGGCACAGGTAAGCATGCACTGTCCGCTTGTGTGCATAAGCTAGTGTGTGTGCGTTTAAGATTTTATACGTGAAGCGGTGTTTGCATTGCGTGAATGTGCAGATGTGTTTCTGTGTATGAGTCTGCATGAGGTCGTGTATATATTTTTGCATGTGTATGGGCTTATATGTATTTATGTGGCTTCATATACGAGGGTGTGTTTGCATTTGGGTGGTGGTGGTGGTGTGTGTCCCTGTGCATGGGTCAGTGTGTGCCGGCGTGTTTGGGCATCCCCCAGTCCCTGTCTGCGGGGCCGTCAGGTGCTCCGTGTCTACCTCCAACCCTCTACCCTTCACCCTCCCTTGGCAGCTGCCACAGATGGGAGTGATGGGGCAACAGGACGGTGGGGGTTGGGGGGGGAGAGACACAGAACTGGTGAGACTCAGAGGTGCAGAGAGAGACTGAGGCCACACAGGTGCAGCATTCAGGCCCCCTGGCTCTCTGATTGCTCTGAGTAGGGCCAGGCACTTCTCTCTCTGCCTCCAACTCCCGTAGGACATTTCTCTGACCCTCTCTTTGTGACTGTCTCTCTCTTGCTATCCCTCTCTGTCTCGGTGTCTCTGTTTCTGCCTTTAGACTCTGAGCTCGACGAGCACAGAGACTGGGTCCATGTTGGCGGATGTCCCCTGGGCTCCCGTCTGTCTCCATCATAGCACCGGACCTCTCTGCCAGGCTCAGTCCCGTATTTCGCCCAGTGTGTGAATGAATGTGGCCACATTCACCAGTCGTGCCCTGGGCCTGGCTTTCCACCTCTCTCTGTCTCTCTCCTTTAAAAGGAAATGGGGCCGGGCGGGGGCGGGGGGGGGCGCGGGGGAGGCGGCGCCTGAGTGGCTCAGTCGGTTAAGCATCTGACTCTTGATTTCAGTTCAGGTCATAATCTCAGGGTCATGATATGGAGCCCCACGTCATCGGGCTCCGCACTTAGCGGGGAGTCTGCTTGAGATTCTCTGTCTCCCTCTGCCCCTCTGCACTGTGTGCACGCTCTCGCTCTCTAAAATCAATCAATCTTCAAAAGGGAATGGGGAGCGATGAGGTAGCAACTATCTTGCAATGTTGGGTAAACCCTTTGCAGAACCCAGGACTCTGACCCCAGCAATTGACTCATACCTCTCTGACCCAGGAGAAAAGGACTGATAGTCCTGATATTTTGAATTCAGGGGTGGAACCTGCACTTTTCTGACCTGGGAGAGGTGTCAGCATGGACTTTCCTGACCCAAGCCCTGGCTCCTGCTGTATCCTAAGATCTGACACTGAGCTTGGGGTCATTCCAGCTCCAGCAAATACTGATGGGGACCCATGAAGTGATCTACACAGAGTCACTCACTCAATCCTCACCCTTTGAGGTAAGTATGGCTGTTATCCCCACTTTATACATGGGGAGAGCAAGGCACAGAGTGGTTTAGAGTGTTACCCAAAGTCACACAGCAGGTTGGAGCTGTTCAATATGGTAGCCACTTGCCACATGCAACTATTAAGCACTCAAAATATGCCTAGTGGAAAATGTGAAATTTAATTTTAAGTAGAAATGGAGACTCAATTCAGTTCTTGGAAAACTTCTCAGTACATTTGGAACAACTTGGGTATGTGAATCTGCTTTTTCAGTTACGTATTTCATGAAATCTCAACACAGATCAAGTATTTCTGAAGAAAAGTCAAAGTCTCAACAAAGATGTTCTGTAAGTGCAAAGTACACACCAGATTACAAAGACTTATAATGAGAAGAAGATATGCCAAGAGGCAGAGAGGCCAAGAAATAGATGAGGACTGTAATATGGGGATGGAGGCAGAGAAAGGGAGGGGAAAAGAGAGACAGCAAGAGAACAGAACAAGAGAGGCAGAAATACAAAGACACAGGGACAGGGCCTGTGGGGGGCGCAAGCAGAGCTGGCTAAGTGAAAAGAGCTGGTTTTCATATGTAAAAGTATGCTTACTTTTTTTTTCCATTTTTAATAGCTTTCCTGAGGTATAACTGACATACGATAAAGCTGCATGTAAAGTACAACTTAATCGATTCTGAAATATTGCACACCTGGGAAACCATCATCACGAACAAGATGATGAACATAACAATCACCCTGAAAGTTTTCTCACAGCCTTTAGTGAGGCCTCTCTTCCCGTTTTTAATCATCCCCTCTTTTGACAACCACTGATCTGTTTTTTGTCACTAAAGATTAGCTTGTACTCTTCTCAATTTTATGCGAAGGGGAGTCATGTGGTATGCACTATTTTTTGCCTGTCTTCTTTCCACTCTGTATCATTATTTTAAAGTCTGGGGTAAGCTGAATAGTGGCCTCCCAAATATGTCCTTGTTCTAATCCCCATAACCTGTGAATGCTACCTAATATGGTAGAAGGGATTTTGTAGATGGGATTAAATTAAAGACCATCAAGTGAGGAGTAGGCCAATGCTATAATCAGTTGGCCAGTTATAAGGCGGCCAAGTACATAACTCACCACCCATCAGCACTCATCATCAGGGAAATGCCGATCAAAACTACAGTGACATATCACCTCACACCTGTTAGGATGGATGTTATTACAAAGACAAGAAACAGGGGTGCCTGGCTGGCTCAGTTGGTGGAGCATGCGACTCTTGATCTTGGGGTTGTGAGTTTGAGCCCCACATTGGGTATAGAAATTACTTAAAAAAAAAAAAAAGACAAGAAACAACAAGTGTTGGTGAAGGTGTGGAGAAAAGGGAATTCTTGTGTACCACTGGCGAGAATGTAAGTTGGTGCAGCCAGTGTGGAAAACAGTACGGAGTTTCCTCCAAATATTAAAATAGAACTACCCAACTAACAAATAGAACTATCCAACTAACCCAAGCAGGAGCTTGCTCGGTCCACTCCACACATCGTCCTGGTATTATAGTACTTCCAGGAAAGGTGCATCCCTCCCCTCAGGGGCAATACTAATGGTGCAAAAAAAAAAAAAAAAAAAAAAAAAAAAAAAAAAAGAACTACCATAGGATCCAACAATTGCACTTCTGGATATTTATCTGAAGAAAATGAAAACACTAACTCCAAAAGATATCTGAACACACACACACACACACACACACACACACACACACACACCCCGTTTATTGCAGCATTATCTACAACAGCCAAACACGGAAGTACTCTGCCGTTGCATGCAGTAGTATATAGTACCATGGTACTATATATTTACAGGTGTAAATTACTCAGGTCACATTGGTTGATAGTGTTGTTCACTGCTACTATATCCTGGTTGAGTTTCCACCCACTTGTTCTATAAGTTATTAAAAGAGAGGTAATCAAATCTCTGAGTATAACTGGGATTTGTCTATGCCCCCTTGCAGTTTTGTTTTTGCTTAATGTATTTTGAAGCTTAGTTATCAAGCCCATACACTTTTGTACTTCTGAGTCACCCCACATGCATGGGAGTGAGGCAAGGTCAATGCTTTATCTGAGTTTGAAAGTCAAAGCTTCACCCCATATGCCTCTAACCCAGGAGGAGGGGACTGACAATCCAGACACCTGGAATTCAGGGGTGGAACCTGTACTTTCCTAACATTGGAGAGGTGCCACTGTGGACTTTCCTGACCAGAGGTCTTGATTCCTGCTGTGCTGTGTGATCTAGCACTGAGCTTGGGGCCTCATTCCAGCCCCAGGAGTCACTAATGGCAAGGCATGAAGGGCTTCACACAGAGTAACTCACTTAATCCTCACCCCCTCAGGTAGGTATTGCTGTTATCCCCATTTTATAGATGGGGAGAGTGAAACCCAGAGAGGTTAAGACCATGCCCAAGGTAGCACAGCACTCTAGAAGTATGAATCAGGTGTCAAATCCAGTCTTGTTGCAGAACATGCTATTCAACTACTTCATTCTACTGCCTTTCTGAGAGAGACACAGAGACACAGAGACACACAGAGAGATAGCAGATGGTGAGAGGCAGAAGAGGACAGTAAATTCTGGGGAAAAGGGATTCTTTGGAAAAATAATCCAGGGAGAGACTGGATTGAACAAAGACAAACTGGTTCCTTTCTTGCAGGACTTCTCAGGGCCTTTAGAATGCTAATTTGCACTAATGACCCAGCAAAAGGGGAGGAGGGTTGACAGCAGCTGCTCAGCACATCTGACTTCATTTTTTTCTTTCTTTCCCTCCTTTTTTTTTTTTTTTTTTGAAGACCCATCCTCACCTCCAGATCTAGGGCTAGGCTCTGAGGGGACACACTCTAGGAAGCGCTCATGTGTCAGAAGAAAGCACTAATCAGACAGACTCAGTCTCAAACCTCAGCTTCGCCCTGTACTAGTCATGCCAAAGACACCTGGGCAAGTGTCTGCTTCTCGTGAGTCTCAGGTTGCCTCCTGGAGGGTGTGGGTACCTAGCCCATGGGGTCACTAGGAAGATGGAGATGAGATCCGATACACATGGCCTGGCACATAGTAAGTGCTCAGTGAATGCACCGTGGCCACAGGAGAGACCCAGAGGCCGAGAGGCCAAGGCTAAAGGGAGTAGAGGCTCAGACAGACCCAGAAGGAGGGACTCGTGATGTGACCAAGATGGCAAGAGAGTGAGAAATCGGTGGCGAGACAGCGAGACACAAGACAACATTTACTCATTCATTCAACAAACATTCATTAGGCACCGGGGAGGCAGCAGTGAACGAGACAGGTAAATACCTGGCTCTCACAGAGCTAACATGCTAGTGGTGGAGACAGACGACAATGAGA